CGTGCATGCTTGGAGCTTCTCATTTTTTCTTATCCCCTCTTTTTTTTTTCAAAAGCTATGTTTGATTACCCAGCACTCATTCAATCGAGCCAATATTTTTGCAATGAAAAAATAGTCGATATGAAGTTTTCATAAAGCGTTTTCATCGATATTTAAATATTTGCATTTTTATGGATCAGATTGCTGTAATGTGATTTAATTTTTTGTTGATAAAAACAGTTCATGAGATGCAATCAAACACAATTTTTTGTTTGTTTGCTTCTGTATGAATGTTATAAATACAATATGTTAAAAAAAAAAAAAAATGAAAAACAAAGAGTCAATGCTTAATCTACTTCAAATACCGTAGAATTATTTTACTTCTCACCTTAACACATTTTACTTCTTGTATGTAAATTTTGATAAGCTTCAAAACTAGCTTTGGGACGGAGGTAGGTGTGGATGTAGACATATCTACTTTTATGTTAAAATTTACTTGCACTGGGAGAGACATATACATATATACGTACGAATGTATTATTCAAATACAGTGTGCTGGAAAATGTAGCCGCGACGGCGTAAAACAACGCGTTGAAAATTTGATTTTCCAAGTTTCCTTCGCGCCCACGCTTATTCGCAAAACCTCGTTAATGCGATACCATGTACCGACTGCACGTGCGTGTGTGTTTATCGACAACAGGGACAATTTTACTGCATGTATCTTGTACATCGCAATATCAATGGCCTGGCAACGGTAATTAAAATTTGTTTGCTCGAAATTACACGTTCTTCCTCAGACTACCGTTTCACAATTCGTTTAACCAGCAGCTATGACCGCAAGAGCATAGCAAAAAAACGCTAACAAGATTAACTTGGCGAAAAACGGAAGAAAAAAGCCGCACACAACGCTCGCTATGGTACACAGTGTATTCGAGTGCACGTGTCTGACCATACACTGACACACTCTACTTGGACCGCTCAAAATCTTGTCACGTATTTACGAGCCTTTTCATTCCTCCCTTTCTCCACGCAAACCCTCGTAAGTTTTTAATAGCCTGTCTTATGGACTTTTTTTCCCGCTCCTTTTATCCAACCGTTTGATTGCAAGAATTAGAGTTGGCTGCAATTTCAAACTTATCTCACCCATGCCTTTTACCTTTTAAAGTGGCTCAAAGTAATAACTATGCATTAATCGTCCATTTGGTTCGTGGTCTCTTAGTCTATTTTCAAAAAGCCAACTTTATTCTTAGTCACATAGCGAATAAAGAGTGAGATGCCCCTGCCAGCTCTCTTCCTTCTTGCCGCGGTTTATCTCTGAAGAAAGGAAAAAAAATAAACCTCAAGAGCCACACACTTTCCTGCCCTTCACCTACACCCATATTATCCTCTCGAGCGTTGTCCTCTTTCTCTGGTCTGGATACACAGGTTTGGAGGTCTTTTTCGTATACCCTTGCTGTGGTCAGAATCATCGATCGTATTTTTTACCACCACTGAGAAAAAGCAGCCTGCGCATAGGTATATATATATATATA